TATGTCCATTTATATAACATTTTTTCCCGCGAATGCATAACACATAATGTAGAACAAAATTAACTAATCAAAATTAACTAATCCTTTCTTCTTATGAAATAAAAGGAAAGAAAGGGATTGATTCATTCATTTATCTATTGTATGCATTGTACAAAAAAAGTATGCTTGGGCTTAAACTCTAAGGAGACCTAAAAGGTGCATCTTGATACTTTGATGCAAAAATAAGAATGAAGATATTATTATTAATTTTTTATTAATTTTATTACTATATGTTAATTTATTACTATATATTAATCGTGCTGCCGCGAGCCTCTATGTTATGAGTTGACCGACGCGCCTGTTAAGCTATTCTCACTCCTCGCGGCTCTCGTACCGAGCCACCAATAGGTGTACGCTTTGGCAGTAATAGGCCGAACCATAGTAGAAGGGATAACATGGTGTGCTTAGTTTGCAAGCATCTCTCTCTCTCTAAATCTCAGTCTCTGTCTATGAATGTCTATGAATGTCGCGTCAGGGGAAAAGCCTGCTAACTGTGAAAAATTAAATATAGGGCGATATTCATAGTCCGTTTTTATTTTAAAACTGTCTTAAATAATGTCTTAAGATGCTAAGTTCTCGGATTGACTTATGACATCTTAAGACTGTACTTAAGACAATTTTAAATATAAGAATCGACTATGAATACCAATCTGCTTCGCGTCGTGAAATTGGTACTGAATCTTTTCTTGTTTAATACATACACTTTATGTTTCTTTCTATAGTCGTTATTCAAAGAAGTCATCATTTTTATAAATGACAAAAGACTAGTTTATTCTGAATAATTGTTTTTTTATCTTGGAGATTATTCTTACAGCATCTAAGAAAAGGAGTACATTGCCGGTTTAAGAGAGAAGTGATACAAATCTAGTATTATAATATCTAATTATTTCAAGAACATATGATAATCGTCAATTGTAATAATTTTGAATTTTGATTCTCGTTTAATAATAAAATGGGCTCGACAATATTATTAAATTAAATAAGCAATTAGTCCTCTCTCACACTTAAGATTTTTTTATATCATATTATATGTTGAACTTAATTATAGAGTTTTACAGAGTTTTATTTGTTAGAATCAATACAAGAGAATCCCGTTTGCCTACAAAACAATTGCCCACAGCTTCGTTTGTACACATCGCATTGCATACATGACAGTATTGCACACAGCGTATTGCATACACGACAGTATTGCACACAATGTATTGCGCATACGATAATATTGTACACAATGTATTGCACGACAATATTGCACACAGCACATTGTACACAGGACAATGTTGCACACAGCATATTGCATAGAAGACAATATTGCACACAGCGTATTGCATACAAGACAATATTGCACACAGCACATTGCACATACAACAATATTGTACACAGCACATTGCACACATAACAATATTACACACAACGCATTGCACACACATATGTATATAAGATTAATTTAAATAATTAATTAATTATACTTTTATAATAATTACATAATTACGGTTATTATATTATATTTTAAGTAAAAATATATAATATTAATAAACGAAATTAATAGTTACATAACAATAGAGACTGTCTTTCAAATGTCAGCCTTCTTCAAAAATAGAATATGAAAAATAGAAATGTATATTTTACTAACTATTTTAATTTATTATATCGAATTTAAGAGATCAATTTTATCAATTTTATCGTATAAATCTTCAATTTTTTAAAAATAATTTTCCAGCAATTTATTGGGAGTACAAATTAGTTCGGTCCGTTTTTTTGTGCATTTATTTTAAAACAAAATGAATGAAACAAATCAATTAAAGTATTGTTCATCGCTGCCTATTACTTTTCCCATCTCTCAAGCAATTTTCGAATTTCATCTCGAAAAAATGACTCGTCTTTGGAGGTGATCCAATTTTGGAGCCAATTTTCGATTTCTCCGAAAGAAGTGAACCGGTGATTTGCCGCATCCTTCGGAACATCAGAACCAGTAATCAGAAGGAGCAATGTCCGGAGAACGGCGGGTGCGGTAAAACATCCCATTTGAGCGTTTCCAATATTTTTTTACTTTAGCGATATGAGGTTGAGCGTTGTCATGAAGAAGAATAACTTTATCATGTTTTTGTTCGTATTCCGGTCGTTTTTCTCTCAATGCACGGCTCAAACGAATCAATTGTAGCCGATACCGATCGCCTGTAATGGAATCGCCAGGTTTCAGCAGCTCATAGTAAACAAGATCCTTTGGTCCCATCAGATATAGAGCATGATCTTCGAACCATGAATGTTCGGCCGTGGTATTGATGTTGAGGTCAATGGCAACGATTGACCGATGGCTTAGCGTAGTATTTTTTCTTCTTGAGATTATCGTAGAATATCCATTTCTCATCTCCAATCACAATCCGATGCAAAAAACCTTTTCTCTGTTGTCTTTGAATCAACTGTTCGCAGGTGAAAAATCGCCTTTCAACGTCTCTCGGTTTCAATTCATAAGGCACCCAATTTCCTTGTTTTTGAATCATTCCCATGGCTCTCAATCGTACAGAAACGGCTTGTTGAATTACTTCCAATTCTGCAAGCTCCTCTTGCGTTTGACTCTGATCTTCTTCGAGTAATGCCTCTAATTCTTTGTCTTCGAATTTTTTTGGCTGTCCAGAGCGAGGCTTGTCTTCAACGCTGAAATCTCTATCCTTGAAACATCGAAACCATTCCCTACATGATTTATTAATTGGAGCAGTGTCACCATAAACTTCGACAAATATTCGATTTAGCCACACTTTTCTTCCAATTAAAGCAGAAAATCAAAATGCTGCTTGGTTCACGCAAAATTCGACACAGTAAAAATCAAGGTTTTTGTATGAAACTCAAAGCGATATAAACTGAATTTATTTATTATTAGCAGATGTTTAATCTCTCTGAAACCGCCAAAATCAGCTGTCACTATGTATCATTCACAACTATGTATATTCACAACAGCTGGAGCAATCTTTAGGGAAACGGACCGAACTAATTTGTACTTCCAATAGTTAACATAATTCCAATTGTTAAAACCTGTATCTACCATTTTCAATACAATTTTGCAATCAATGTAATCGATATAAATTCGATATCTATTCTATTATTATAATATTTCTTATTGGTTATGTCTAAATAATGTCCATAAAAAGTTCATCCTATCGAGACGTCCTATTGGACATCAACAACATCCATTTGGATATTTAAAGATGGTACGTCTTCAAAAGACGTCTGCCAGACGTATCGGGACATCTTTGATACGTCATCTAGACGTTGAACATCCGAATAAGACGTGCTATGTGTTATGGACGTCTATGTTATATGAAATTTTGCTCTAGCGAATAATATAATTGTAACAAAAATTTCGCAACAAATGAAAAACTTTTGCAAACAGATTTTTTTGCAAATTTTAAATACGAAGAAACTTTTTCTCCGATCCAATATATCATAATTTAAATTTATTGTTTACATTTAATGTATATACACAGATTGGATATTACTCATAATAGTTTTTATTTGAAAAAAATTGTATTCATTATCAATAATGACTTAAAGTAATGTTATCAGCTTATGATCAATGTGAAAAGGTTTAATGAAAAAAGTAAACAACATTATGCATGATGTTTTATTGTTAGTGCAACATATTGATTCTAATTTAATAACTACGATAATTACAGAGACACCGTAGAGTAAATGTACAAATAATTATTTCATACACAATATTTGTATAAAGTTAAAATTATATGATTAGTGATGTTAATATTTTTGGCAAATAATTTTTTTTATTCATTCTTCTTTATGTTACATTGCTTAATCTTATCCACCACACCCTTTAGTATAATACATGTTATCTGACAGTAGGCTTTGTCGTTCTCCTTTATGTTGGATCCTAGCTTTCTATATTCTGTAATTAAAAAAAAAAACAGAAATATTTAATTTGAAGATTTAATTCAAAATTTCATAAAATCTCTTATTTTTAAAAATAAACTTTATTACAAAATATAAATATATATAGATTACCATTATCTAGGCAGTCCACAACTTTTGTGTGACAAATATTCCAATCCTTTTTATCCAAAATAGACATGCAATATTTAATACCTTCTTCTCTGATTATTTGATTTTGTTTAATCTAAAAATAATTTATTTAATATTATTGTACTATTAAGCAGCACAATTTAAAATTGAAAAATTAATTTTCTTATTTACTCTTAAAATTACTTCCTATATGCTAATTAAAATACATAATAAAAAATGCTATTAAATTATTAACATTACATTAAATCCGATAAATTAAAATACATAATAATTAAAATATATAATAAAAAATGCTATTAAATTATTAACATTATATTAAATCCGATAAACTTTTTATGGAAATTATACATTACAGTGCAATATGTAAAAAGCACAATATGTAAAAATTTTTTACAAAAATGAGAAAATTAAGTTAATTTAAAAATATAGATAATCACCGCACACATCTATATGTATCTGTTTATGTATATGTGTGTATTTTTATTTCTATAATTAATTTCTGTTTTTAATAATACATACCACGCCAGCTTCTTTCAGTATACAATACCATACGTGAACATCTATCAAGACAGTGCCTGTAATATAAATTGCATATTTATTAATATAATTTTAAATATATTCACACAATTAAATTCATGAATAATATTTAAATTTCAATATAACTCTAATATAATTTTGTTTTAATCAATATTAATTTTTTTGAGAATTTATTTATTTCTGTAGTATTCAATTCTTGGAGATGTCATATTCTTGGAATACTTCGACTATAATATCATTCGAAATATTGTTGATAATTTCCTTCAATTATATTGTTATTATTTCTTATAAATCTTTTAAAAATCTTAGAATTTTCATAATTTTTATATCCTATATTGGAAGTTTTTAAAATAATTTCATATAAATTATTTAAAGTATTATTTACAGATAAAGTAAGAAAAATAAAAGACTAATTATTTTGTCTCATTTTAAATATTGTAAAACATAAATAAATTCGTTTTGATTCTATTATATTTAACATAAACATATATAATTTAATGTTTAAAAAGCTATTGTTTTATATTGTAAATGTAAAAATTTTTAATTTTAATAAAATTAAATCAATTTGCTAACTTTTAACAGTAGCGACAATTTTTTTTTAATTAGAAGAAACTGGAGCTTTGTTACAAGGAATAAATTGTTATATTAATTAATGCTTCTAGTTGCCAAAGAAAGCATCATTTTATAAACAGTATATGTAATCCTTATGATATTCTGCTATTCTACTAATTTCGCTATAATTGAACTGTAGAAAACGCTACTGTTTACGTGATTTTCATCGTTGGAATTAAATATTTCATTGTGCTAATGCTTCGTTTTATTGAAGGCTTGTCCAATTTGAGCTTCAAAACAAAACGCCAAACTATCAAAGCAAAAAATTCAATGTGGGTAAGATTTTGGGGACTGTAATGTGTTGATACGCATCTGAATGACGTTTATCAACATTTTACAGTTCCTGAAATCTTACACTGAATTTCTTGTGCTGATGACTTTGCCTTTGGATTCAAATTGGACAAGCTTGTTTTATTGGATACATAAATCGAAAATATTTTATCTTCTTTTTGTATTTTTTCTATTTTTAAATATTTTTAAATATTTTTTTTATATACGTTTAATTATAAAAGCATGTTTTATTTGAATTGATATATATACTTATTTTTTATCTGTATTTTTTCGAATCAAAACTGGCGAATTGGGACTAATTGTTATATCTTGATTATGTCAAAATTTTGTTACGGTGTAACAATTTACTCCGTACTCCCTTGCAATTAAAAATCATTTTTGTTTCTTTCTACAGAAGTGCGATCTTATAAACGAAAAACAGATAGAGAATCTGTAAATATAAAAATATATAATAACAATTATAAAAGAAATTTAATTTATTAGAGATAGTTCTCTGTCTCTTACAAAAGCATACGAATAACATTAATTTTATAACATTGCAACGTATAAAAAAGCAAAAACTAAATTCTTTATTTCTATGGTTAAATTGGTAGGGAATGTAGGTATCTTCTATCGATTTAGAATTAAAACTTGAAAATATTGTTGAGTGCAGCAAAATATTATAGTTTATTATCCATAAATATAAAATTATTCACATATGAATATGTGTATTTCTAAAATTAATCATTCTAAAAATTAGGATAAATCATAATGTGCATCTGAAAATTGGCTCTTAGCTTTTTTAAAAAGATATATTAAATTTTCTTCGAACTTCTGAAGTAACAAGCTTGTCTAGAGCAATAAGATTTAATTCTTACAACTCTCTCTTTATATCTTTCAGCAGCACAAGTTCAAATATCAAGTAATGTAGACAAAACAAGAGTGAATAAATTAAAAAACCAATCAATATGATTGTAGAGAAAAGAGAAAAACAAATAGGAGAACATTTACTGCAGGAAAAAGAACAACTATGACTATTGAAATAGCAGCCAACGCGATTAGTAATTTTCTTCTTTCATTTTTTATTTTTCTTCATGTTAACTTTAAGCGATATTTCATCAATCAAGGTTCAATTAAAAGCATTTGTGCTATTCATCCTAGTGAATGGATTACAGAACAATTTTTTACAATTTGAATACATCTATACATCTTACAATAGAACACATCTATAAACATGTTTCATTTTCTATCAAATCCTCTATATCATTGGTTTTAGATAATCACAATTCTCACCTATTAATAGCAAGTGTTAAATTTTTGTAAAAGAAAAATATATAATTCTTTTATACATCATTTCCATTACATATCATCTTTAACTTCTATAGCAAGGAAAAATGAAAAAGGCCTACTAAGACGAAATCTATTTATTTCAATAGATTTCGTTTAAAAAGCAATTAAAGAAAGAAGAAATAAACATAAAGAAAGAATAAGAAAAATTTAACAAAGAAAAGCAAAAAATCCTTAGAAATAAAAAAAAATCATCAAAGTCAGAAAATGATTATTGGAGTAGACCAGATGACGATTGGATTCAGTACATTCAATACATTCAATACGCATTATTTCATCCAGTTTTATCTCATATCCATTATTTCACTCACATTTATTGCAGAGAAAACGATTCATATTGTGTTTGCTTTAATTGCGCGCGCGTGCGCGCGCGTGTGTGTGTGTGTGTGTGTGTGCTCATTTAAAATTAAATTATTTGAAAGTGACTTTTAATATTTCTATAAGTTAAAAATATTTAGCTTAATTATTGAGTATTGATCTTAAACTTATAAAGTTATATTAAAATCTGGTTACATTATTTTTAATTGATTATAATTAACTATCTAAGATATTAATGCACATGAATTAGTATTTTTTTACTTAAAATTAGATTTCAATTCATTATTAATTTAGTAAATTAATAATTTGAAATCTTTTCTTTTAATTGATTGACAGATATTCAATAATTGATTTAAGAAAAAATTTATATTAATATTTTTTTGTGAATTTTAATTTTGTATTCTAAAATAAATATTCTATGTAAAATGTTTTATGTTTGATTTCATAATTCAATCATTGTAATTGATATGTTTTTACGCATAAATATTTGAGAAAATATTATAAATATAACAATTTGTCTTATGCTCGGTATTCAATTTTTAATGTTTAAAGAAATTGATTACCTAGTTAAAAATGTACTTAAATCAGTGCATAGGTATATGATAATGTATATTCCGGAAAAATTCAAATAAAAAATTATAACTGCTAGTCACGGTCTTCTCTAAGTTAACTATAAAGCTAATGACAATTTTGATTAATAAAATTTGAACTAGAAGTAGTTTTTAGAAATTAATCTTTTTTTTAAATTTTGTTTGTCAAATGCTACTAATCTTTTATATATAACTTAATATTCAATATTAAATGTTTAATATTTCATACTTACACGGTACATCTCTGCACGTTCGCAATTCCTTCGAACAGTATTCCAAATCACGACAAAACAATTTATGGTTATGAATTGCTGATTCTGTTGCATAAGCTACCTAACATAAAAAAAAATTAATCGTATTTATGTGTAAATATTTTATATAAGTACTTTAATTTTGAAAATTGTTAAATATGCATGATATAATTTTTTTTAGTTATAATAAATATTTAATGTGTGTATTTAAATAAATCATATCATAATACTTATTAAAATATATGTATTTTTTCAGAGAGTTTTAATTAAACTTATTTAATATTAGAAATTCTTAAAGCACAATTTTTAGTAGAATGCAATAATTTTTAAATACACTATATTATTTCATATAATACAAACTTACATACAATTATTACGTACAATTTATATATATATATATATATATATGCAATGTACATATATGTGTGAGGTTGAATTTTTGGAATAACGATAGAAATTAAAACTAAATATAGAAATAAATTGCAATTATTTATACCTAACAATTCGCATCATTGCCGATATGAAAAGCAAGAGAAATAAAAGTTAGAAAGAAGATCGTTCTTTACACATATTTCATTAGATATTTTAGAAAAGATTTATAAAATTATATTTAATAAAAATTTTAAAAAAGAGAAAAATCAAGAAAGAAAAATCTGATGTAAATAATATAAAGAAATATAGAAAATAAATATAGAAAATAAATATAGAAAATAAATATAGAAAATATATAAAATTTACTCTCCCTCCCATTTTCTCATATGAACTAGACGCATCGCGGATATTAAAAAGTTTTAAAAAGTCGATCGCGATCTATACAAATTTGGGAAACTCTGCTCTATGTATTTAAGTATAGATATAATTTATACTTACGGCTAGCAGGCACATGAAAAGTATAGAAATCTTCATTTTTTTAAATTTTCTAATAGACGCATATAGAAGATTACGAGAGACTCTTTTGTAGTACATTGAGAAGTAGTATATCTCGACAATATATATATTCTCAATAATGCACTTACAAAGTGATTGTTAATCATTTACACTCATATTTATTGCACATATCATACACGATGTGCGCATAATACACACAAATATATTACACATATGACCATATTATGTCAAAACGCACATAAAATAATACAATATCACCATAGTAATATTTTGATCACATTAATAAAATATAATAAATATATTGTAAAGTGTATAACATAATAAATATAAAACTACGTCAAAAAAAAGAGATCATATATTCTGATATCTAAAAATAAGCAATTTTCAAGAAAGCGTAACTTCATTAAAAATAATCATAATGAAATGATTCAAAAAGGATTTTAAAGCTTTTATATATAATAATTTTGTAAAAAATTAATTAGATTATTATGTAAAATACCGATCTAAAAAGTAAAAACTTCAAGTTTTAAAAGAGACTTCAAGTTAGAATTTCAAGTTTCTCCTCTTTTTTTCATTAGTAAAAATTATCCTAATTTTTCAATTTTTTCCAATTTTAACATAGTAATTCAATGTCTGAAAAGTTTAAAAAAAAAAAATTATAAATTAAATATTCTATTGTCCGGAAAGTTCGTGCCGCAAAAGATTTAAATTTAACAAATGTATACTAAAATTTAAATCTTCTGCGTTTCAATTTTCCTTCAAAATCACGAACTTTTCGGACAACCCTATATTTGACAAAATTAAACTTAATTGTTATTTTGAATGAAATCCTTTCCTTAAAAGTATTTACTATTTACGTCCCATAACAAAAACTTAATTTTGAAACGAAGACGTAATTAGAAAAGTAAGTTTTTAGTTTTTACACAAATTAGATTTTTTTACAAAGAATTATAAATTTAAAGAAAGGATTCTGCATACACCTTATGAAAATTGAATTTCAGTCGAATTAGCTGAAGTTATTGATTTTTGGAAGTGCTAATCTTTTGTGAATATTTACTTTATTTTCAACACGATTCCTATGTCATTATTTGTAATGTCATTATTTCTGTATATATGTTTAAGTAATAAAAAGGATAATAAAGAATTTGATTGCTTCTTTCTAACAAAAAAGTTATAAAGATATCAAAATGGATAATTTGATTTTAGAAATTTAAGCACCCTGATCTGTGAGAGACGAGGATACTCACAATAATCAAGTTTGATTCGTGTGGAAAGCAATTAAGTCAATATTAACTTTATAACATTTTACTTAAAAATACAAATAGAAAATCCAAATAATGACATAGGAATGCACAATATTCATTGAAAATAAGATATTGTGTAATACTAACTCGTTTTGAAAAATGACTTGTAGAGATGAAACGATTCATTATAGGGGGTCGTGCCTAAAAACTTTATTAAAACAAGATCTACATATCCAATTTTTAGTTAATTTGATCGAAATTCAATTTTCTTAAAGTTAATTTCCTTAAGGTTTGTACGAGGTCCTCTTTTTAAAATTGAGTTTATTATATTATACAATATTAATTTAGAATGTATATAAAATCTTATAACAAAATGGAAAAATAACTTCCTTAAAATATCTACTAAATTATATTACATTATAATAAACATATTACAAAATCAATTAGGACACAATTGTATCAATTTTAGGGTACATTTAGAGTTCGTAATCTCATTACGGCAGAAAAGAAATTACATAATATAGGTAAGATATGAAATTAAAAATATCATTACATATATAATGCAATTGAAATTTATTATACCATTAATTTTAACATTATTTTAATGATACATTTTCTTTCGGTATCATATAATTTTCATACAATTTCACAATCACATTCCAATCTTCAGCTTTACTATATACTTTATTTTCTTATAAATGCCATCTTGTTTCCGATTCTGCTAATATCTCAAACTGAAAACAATATAAATGTATATAAGTAACTCAATTATAAAAATATAATATTTTAATTAAAATGTTGTTAAATATATTAATTTTAAAATAGTTACAATAAGAGAAGGTGATATCGACATATTTTGTTTTTAGACTTTGTTTAAAATATTTCTTAAATAAAAGGTAAAAATGAAATTTTAGATATATAAATATTGTACAATCTAAAAAGTGTCTTCTATCGGATAATATAAATAGTTCTTATAATAATAAAAATTTGTAATTTTGCAATAATTAATTTTTTTGTAACATAAGCAAAAATAAGCGTCTAATAATACGGTTTCCAAAACTGACACAATAGGCAGTAATGTCATATATTTCTATTCCTTTTTTTTCACAGAAATTCTGAATAAATTCAACAGTAAGAAATAGAAGTAATGGCTGCAACGGTCAAAGTTATATCTTTAATATTTAAATAATTCAATCTGAATTACAATATATATAATATATTGCATATATACCATATTTATAATCATTTGAACTACGCGAAATATCTGAATAAAATAGCTATAAGTAAATGTATATAAGATTTTTTAGAATCTTTTCACTTCGATATAAAACATTTTTTGTTGAATTATATGTTTATTTATTTTATGCTGTTCTGCAAGATGAAAATATGTAATGTAATAATTTTTCAAAAGCTTTGTTATATATGTACCATTGGTTTCTGTTCCGATAGAATTATTTGAATTTTCACTATAAAACAACAAAGATTAAGTTAATATTTGGTATGGGAAAAAGTGGCGTTTTTCCCGTTAGATAGCATTAAAAAAATGTCACGAACTTTTTCCTACACCTAATATGTTTCATAATTTGTTTTACATAGTCAAGTGTCAGTTTACATTGCATTCTGATTTAAAATTATTTAAAATTATTTAAAATTATGGAAAAACTGAAAAGATATTATGAAAAACTAAGGAAGAAAATAATATAAATTAAACTAATATAGAAAACTACAAACATTTAAAACGACATAATATTATTAATAATATCACTATTATTTAAATTATGCAATTTACAAAAGAAAATCGTAAAAATTTTATTTTCGCATTCGTATAATTCGTTTTTAGCTGATTTCGTATAGAAATAAGTCACAAATATATGAATTATGCATTTACTTTTTTAATTAACTAAGAGGTCATGTTTTTATTAATATTAATGAAGTGCAATAGTTAGTTTCTGAGAAATAATGTCGTTTTAGGAGACTTATATCGGCGACTTTCCTCTACATCAAAGATGGTAAATTTCCTAACGCGCTAAAACAAATTATTATTATCATTTATGTTTATCATTATTTGAATGCATCAAACACACCATCCAAGGATGAACATAAAATATGGTTTTTTTATAATAAATACAATTCCGACGAATGTGTGTGTGAAAATATGTCCGCTTATACATACATCTAAATATTTATCAAAATTTTTATCAAAATTCGTGTGACTAAACAGAGAAGTAGATAATAATGTAGTTTTTATACGTTGATAGTTTTTTTGAATACACGATTAAAGAATATGCAAGTGACATTAACTCTTTTGAAATAAAATTTTTATCAAGCAGTTATAACTTTAATAGCTAGATATATATGTACAATACAATAAAAGTCTCTCAAATATTTCTAAGAATTAAAAATTTTCATTATAACAGCATTTATATAATTGAATATAATTGAATATAATTGAAACGAAAAACAGGTTTGGAATAACATATGAATAAATTTGAAGTTAATTAGATTACAGAATTATATGTAAGGTAGAATAGAGCTATTTGAGTATAGGGGCAAGGAAAATTTTAAATATCTCAATGATCATAGAGTTTATATTACTGGAGGGGAAATGGTCTCTCCAAACAATGAGTGGAAAGTGTGAGCAAGATCTGAGAGAGAGAGACAGAAGAAGATGTATTTCTGCTCAGTAACTTTTATTTTTTTCTGCGATTGTGCCAAAAGAGGATAGAAGAGGATAAAAAGATATTTCTGTCGTTTAGATCTTGCTCACAGCTCGATGTCCGTATTTTCCCTTCAGTAGTATAATGTCGATTCTATGTCGATAATCAAGACGTGTATGGACATGTGGACGCTTGCTTCAGATAGCATGAAGGTGCAGATTACTACGCTGAGTACATCAGTTTCTGCTCGATTTTCAATCGAGTAATAAGAGAGCTTTTCCAATTTTGTGTAAAAAATAAAATCATTAGGTGAATATTCTTTTTGATATTCTACATAGTAATTAAAACATTTTTTTAAAAATCAAATGTACTCTTTTATCATAAGTCATTAGTATATCTTTTAATTTCAATGTCAAAGTTATTATTTTATTTATCATTTTGTAGTTACATAATAATATTTTAATCGCCAAGTGTCCCAACTAATCACACTTATACTGAAATATTTAAACGAAATCTCTTCTTTCAGTTAATTGTTGTAATTGTTTAACTTCCTCACCTTTGATGATTTGATAAAATTAGGCTTATTCGACGCGCTTTTGCATGAAATGAATGAATCTGATAAAAAAAGATGTCGCTTTGTCCTGTGGACCAAAGTATTAATCATTAAAGTTGATCAGATTAGAAAATCAATTACATCGATGGCATGTAGAGGGACATAGTAAGTGAGGTTAAAATTAATATTTTTTATTTCAATTACATAAATTTTCTGCTTTAAAAATAAATTTTCTATGTAAAAACAAAAATTATATAAAAAATAAATTGTGTTTTTAAATTTAAAAAATTTACATTTTTAATTTCCTGAGTAATCACTCCAGTCATATTGAATCGTGGCATAAGTCAGAAATATGTCATAAGCGACACGTTGATTTTTCTTGTATGCCATTTGTGAATAAAAAGAATTTTTTATAAAACAAAATGATGAGATCTTTAAAACATTTGTAAAAATAGACAAAAATTATTTTTATCTTCCTTGACAATCAGTAAGTAGTCATAAAAGGCATGTAAAGTGCGTTTACTAATTTTTACTCAATGCGTATGCGTAGCCTATTTTCATTTCACGACTCTTTTTCAATTCTTTACTGACTATTAGAGGAGATAAGGAGAATTTTCATCCATTTTTATCAAT